ACAGAGTAGGTCAGCCAGGCATTCTCTTAGCCATTGCCAGTAGTCTGTCATAAAAGTGTCTTTGTGGATTTCTGGGGATCTCTCTAGCACTCTGCTTCTTCCTATTCCCACAGGGTCCTCATTTATCATGGCATCTCCCGCCCTGTTCTCTCCCCCGATCCAGCCAGGTCTCCTGCTCCTCCAAGCTCTCTTTCCCCCAACCCTTGCACTCCACTACCACCCCTCACCCCCAGATTGCTCATGTAGAGCTCATCCATTTCTCTGTCATTGGGTGATCCTTGTGTCTTTCTTAGGGTCCTCTTTACTAGGTAGCCTCTCTGGAGTTGTGAGTTGCAGTCTGGTTATCCTTGCTTTACATCTAGTATCCACTTATGAGTAAGAACATACCATGTTTGTCTTTCTGAGTCTGGGTTACCTCACTCAGGATGATTTTTTCTAGTTCCACCCATTTGCCTGCAAATTTCATGTCATTGTTTTTCTCTGCTGAGTAGTGCTCCGTTGTGTATATGTACCACATTTTATTTATCCATTCTTCAGTTGAAAGGCAGCTAGATTGATTCCAGGTTCTGGCTATTACAAATAATGCTGCTATGAATAGCTGAGCATGTGTCTTTGTGATATGATTGAGCATTTCTTGGGTATATACCAAAGAGTGGTATAGCTGGGCCTTGAGGGAGGTTGATTCCCAATTTTCTATGAAAGCACCATATTGATTTCCAAAATGACTGTACAAGTTTGCATTCCCAACAACAGTGGAGGAGTGATCTCCTTGATCCACATCCTCTCCAACATAAGCTGTCTTCAGTGTTTTGATCTTAACCATTCTGATGGGTGTAAGATGGTGTCTCAGAGTCATTTTGATTTGCATTTTCCTGATGATTAAGGATGTTGAGCAATTCTTTAAATGTCTTTCAGGCATTTGAGCTTCTTCTGTTGAGAATTCTCTGTTTAGCTCTATAGCCCTCTTTTAAATTGAACTGTTTGGTATTTTGATGTCTAATTTCTTTAGTTATTTATATATTCTGGATATCAGCCCTCTGTCAGATGTGGGGTTGGTGAAGAGCTGTTCCCATTCTGTATAGGCTGTCATTTTGTCTTGTTGAATGCATCCTTTGCCCTACAAAAGCTTCTCAGTTTCAAAAGGACCCAGATTCAATGCAGTCCTCATCAGAATCCCAACACAATTCTTCACAGACCTAGAAAGAATAATACTCAAGTTAATATGGAAAAACAAAAAACTCAGGATAGCCAAAAGAATCCTATACAATAAAACAACCTCTGGAGGCATCACAACCCCTGACTTCAAGGTCTACTATAGAGCTGCTGTAATAAAAACAGCTTGATACTGGCATAAAAACCGACATGTGGACCCATGGAACTGAACTGAAGACCCTGACATTAATCCACACACCTATGATTTTTAACAAAGAAGCCAAAATGTACAATGGAAAAAAGAAAGCATCTTCAACAAATGGTACTGGCATAACTTTATGTCAACTTGTAGAATTCTGCAAATAGATCCATATCTGTCACCATGCACAAAACTTAAGTCCAAGTGGATCAAAGACATCAACATAAATCCAGTTACTCTGAACCTGATAGAAGAGAAAGTAGGAAGTAGTCTTGAATGCATTGGCACTGGAGATCACTTCCTAAATATAACACCAGTAGCAAGACACTAAAAATGTCTTTTCTAACAAAGCAGTTTGACTGATGTGTAATGTGAGACAGGGATATAGAGGAAAGGAATAAAGAAATTTAATTTTACCATCTCTTCCTCCTTTCCTTTCTCTTATCTACCTCCCTTCCCTTTCTCCTTTTTCTCCTATAACGCATTGGTTTAAAGTATTTTACAACACAAATGACATTTTAACATTATGCAATATGTTCATATTATTTCTCATTCTAAGAAGAAAAAAACTGTATAATTATCTCTACTGACTCTTAAAAATCATTTGTATAGGAGTCAATAGCGATTCATGATCAATCTCTAAGGAAGCAAAGTAGAGTGATGAACATATCTTACTGTCATGTGCTGTCTAGAACTCTCCGGCATCAAGAAAATGTAGTATATTTACACGATGTGATGTTACTCAGCAGTTAAGAAAAACGGCAAGAAATGTGCAAGCAAATGGACAAAACTGGAAAAAAATAATCATGAGTGAGATATCTCATACCCAGAAAAATAAACTTTGTATATATTCACATATAAGTGGGCATTAGATGTTAATTAAATGATAATTATGCTAGAACCCACAGACCCAGAATGATTAAATATAAGGAGCAATGCATTGATATCCCTGAGAAGGAGAAATAAATTTTGCAGAGGTCAGGTGAGGATGGGTACAGGAGGGATCAGGCAGAGAAGGAAGGAATAGGGGGAGAGTACAGGAGGGTGATATGGAGACCAACTGCAGTGGAAACTTTTTAAGCTTTTGATGGTGACCCCAGCAAGGACACCAACTAGTGGAGGATATAGAGCCTTAACAGGCCATTTTCTGAACCTAGCAAGGCTTCCAGTGGTAAGAATGTGACACCAATCCAGACACAAAGCCTTCCACCTACAGCCAGTCCTGATTACAAAATGTGCTGTGGCAATTCCAAAAACGATATTGATGAAAACTTATGTTCCAGAGCATACTTTTAGGAACAAAACAAAACAACAAAAGTGACCTGTACTCTAACTGTGTACAGAGCTTGCAGCAATGAACAACCAGTGACTGATAATGTGAGGCTCATGCCACAAGAGGAAGCCCAGGCATGACACTGTCTGGATGGCCAGGGATTGGAAGTTGGGTATGCCAGAGACTTAAGGTAGAACCAAACAGGACTGAAGAGATAAATAATTAAAAAAAAAAACAATGAAATGACTCGTAATGCTATTCTGCTACACTCATAAATCGATGCCTGGCACAATTGTCATCAGAGAGAATTCCTAACAGCAGCTAATGGAGCAGATTCAGAGACTCACATCCAAACATTAGGTGGAGCTTTGGGACCCCCTCTGGAAGAAGGAAAGAGTGGAAGGATTGTAGAAGTAAGAGTGTTCAAAGATACTCAAAGAAAACAGCCCACAGAATCAACTCAGCACAGCTCATAGGAGCTCACAGAGACTGAAGCAGTAGTCACCGAGCCTGCATGAGTTTGTGCTAAGTCCCTGGCAAATAGATCTTGGTTGTATAGCATGGTATTTTTGTGGGACTCCCTAACACTGGGAGAAGAGGTGTCTCTGACTCTTTTCCCTGACCTTGGAATCCCTTTCCTCCTGCTAGGTTGTCATATAGCCTTGATATAAAGGTTTGTGCCTAGTCTTATTTTATCTTGTTACTTCCTATTTGGTTGATATCCCTGGGAGTTCTGCTCTTTTCTGAAAGGAAATGGATGAGTAATGAATCTGAGAGAGAAGAGAGTTAGGGGGCTTCTGGGAGGAGTAGAGGGAGAGGAGGATGTGGTTGGGATGTATTTTATGAGAGAAGAATGAGGAAAAGATAAATGAAAAATATTCCATATGCACTGAGGACAGCAGAATAGGCCTTATACATTAAATA